TGGACGCAAGTACGATGCCGACTGTATTTCCATTCAACACTTTGATCTTATTTTAGTACATGTATATGAATTTACAACTTCATTCCTCATAGCAACAGATTACATCCTCCAATACCCAAGAGTCATCATACACATATGCGACAAATTAATAGTACATACAAATGAAGTTTGCAGAATATATACAAGCAAATAATTAACTCATTAACACCTAATGACAGAACTTAATTTGAAGTTAATGCTGCACGTAATATAGACAATATATCTATACTGTCTTACTTACATATATTTGAACTTTGAAGCTGATACCTTAAGAAATAAAAAAAAGTTACAGTAATATCTTAACTATCTTACTTCTAAGCCCTGAACTTTAAGTTTCATATGATCTTCTCGTATAGTTTTACCATCTTTCCGTTTCTTCCAACAATAACCATCTTTCCTGTAGCGTACACTGTTCCGGTTAAATAGGAACATACAGCCACTGGGTGGTCGCTGCTTCACCTCATGATTTTGCCAGTCTGTATGGCGAGAAAACGCCAGCAATATGCTAGCAATTTCCTGAAATACAAATTGAACATTATAAAACATAAGAAGCTGCAACAAGAGCTGTCGGACATAGTGCTCGACTATTCTCAGTTGCATGAACTTGGATAATGTAGAGCCTTTTTAGTTCAAAAAGGGCCATAATTCTGTCAAAATCAATCTTAAAGTTATGGACCTTTCTACGGATATTTCAAAATTCAAAATTTTACCAGTTCACGTTTAATGTTGAATTCTGCTTAAGCCACACTAGGGTGCAAGGACGGTAGCTTGCAAGTCTATGAACAGGCTCAATTAAACTTAAGGCTGCAACATTTTCAATTTTGCTGTGTTACGCTTTCTTCAGGGATTCTGTTTTTATCTATCTTGATATGACGGGACTGGAAATATTTTTTCAAGATTTTTGTACTATTTTGTGTTGGTCAAACAAAAGTGTAAAAATGTTTTAAATTCAAATCTGGCCATTAACTGTACTTGACATAAATTTTTCAATCAAATTATGAGTATATTTCTTTATCATCATTTTTTACATTTTAAGTGCCCCAGTGAATATAAGTAAGAATTTCAAGTTTTTATGTTTATAGACCTATGGACCTCAGTGGAGCACCTTCAAGGTATAAGAATAAGGACTGCTGCACATACCTCATTGGTGTTCCAGCGATGTCTCGCTCGTGGTAGAACCTGAGCTACCTTCACAGATTCAAGCTGCTTTGGTAACTGTATGTTACTTGGAATGTATTCTGAAATTATAAAATATCAATATTATACATTGTACATGATTGATATATGTTTATTTTAGAGTTTAGGGTTGGTTGAATGTTAAACAAATTTGTAAATGTTACAATTGCTAACCAAGTGGGTTCAAACCCTGTCAGGGGCAAGCCGTTGTTTCCTTGAGCAAGAAACTTTACATTCATTGTTTAGTACTGGTTGGTTCCAGGAACGGATTCGAGAGTGTTTCAATAAGCTTACAGCTTCCAACACAATCAAACTAAAATAAATTTGTATAAACTAATTGGTAACTATAGAAGTTCTAATGCTGTCCATAATTAGGCCCATCCTTGAATTTATTGGAAGTGTAAGAGAATATAATATTTATGTCATTATGATATAAATTATCTAGTAACATGGTTTCATATTTTCTACAGATTTTTTGTTGCTGCTGATAAAATAATGAATATGTTGATTCAAAAACTATCAAGTCCATATGTGAAAGAAGATTTAACAAACCTTGGACTCTTGTTTTGGACATGCTTCAAATTATTTAATAAATAACATCATAATTATAATATGTATAGAACCAAGTTAGACAAATGCCTCTATTGGTCACTGTTACTTTACCCACAGTCAGCTGTCGATTCAATCCAGTGTATATCTGTATGACTGACTATTAATTTACTTATCTATATTTCACTTTCTTACCTGTTTTCATGATTTCAGTAAGATACAAGTCATGTTCTATGCTTAACAGCAGTTTATAACATGCCCACAACCATTATCTGCATGTTTTTTGTGGGTTTTTTTGAGACCATTTATTGCCACCATTGCTTTGAAATAAGTCTATAAGTCGTGTACATAACAACGGCACAGTTTTAGACATTTCATCTTGACTGGCCCTTGCTTCTGTATTAAGTTGTTGGTGAATTTTTTCATAATTTCTAGAGATTTTATTAGCTAATCTAAATTATTGATTTTCTTCAAATTATCTGTATAGATTTTTAGCGATCTACAGAAAATATCAATGGTACATCTCCATCATTTCGATGAGAGCTGTTAACACTTACCCATGTCATTTGTATCATGTAACAGCCAGCTTCATACCAGTTACGTATCTGGCTTCATACCGTACATCACTTTTATTTTATTTTTCTAATAATGAAACCCCTTTAAATAACAAAAGACTGTTTCCAATTCCAAAGCTTATATGACTCAAACAGAGCCTAGAAAAAATCCAATCAAAGTAAAAGTTCCAATTGCTGTTCTAAAACTATAACCTAAACAACTTAACATGTCATCTTCCTTTCCAAGTCAACAACCTCGTGAAATTATCAGCTCCAAATAGAAACATCAGAGAGCTTTTTATTTCAAGCACATGTATCGTAAATACGCTTTTTTCCGATTACTATAGAAAACTTTGGATAGGAAAAGTGTATACCAATAAGTCTTTGCGATACAATTATGGCCGCATCCAGTACTTTTCACAAAAGATATACGACTAAATAGATTGCCCTAATCAATAAACTCACATCAACTAGCTTTATCATTAGTTGTCACTGTGTTGTGTCTGTAGGGACACCTTTAATCTTCTCTCTACCATAAACACAATACAACAATCTAAACATTGTATATAAACACCCTTGTTTATACCATGTGTTGTACCATGCTGACATTTTTAAATGAAATCCTTTTTGCTTTGAATTCAGAACTTGGTAATGTTGTTAGTTTGTAGGGATATCAACATAAAAAAAAATCAAGAAAGAAGAAAATAGTAAACATTTCTTGTCATAATATATAATGGATCACATTTAAACGAGAGATTGTGCCAAGTGACACTATAGCTCAATCAGTAAAGCTGTGAAAACAGTATTGGTAGGGTACAAAGGGTTTGAGTCTTTAAGGCTGCAAAAGTTGTTTTTTTAACCAGTGACAATGTCATATATATAGTAATTGACTCTGTATTATTGGTAGCATTAAACTTCTGTATACCATTATTGTTAATGTTGTTCAAAAATGTTATCACAGTGGATAGTCTTAACTGTTACAATAGTTTTTATCATATCTTAAAACCAACAGTTTTTCTTAATTATAATTTATATTTTTATCTATTTATTTTTTATCTATCTTTTTATTTTTATTTTATTATATCTTTTCTTTTGGCAAAAAATTATGTGATTATGAGGATTATATGTCATGGCATGAATACCCCCACATACCACTTTGTCAGAATCAACAGTGGTCATTTAGAGCTCAAGGACAACCTCCCTGCCAAATCTGAGCAGTGCATTGCTAAGTTATGTATTCATGTATTCTACATGCTTCAAATGTGAAAATGTCAAAATCAATACACTGCGGACAGGCATTCTTAAGCATTAGAGCAGATAAGCTTATTATAGTAAAAATCCCTGTGACCTTGACCTTTAATAGTCACCTAAAAATCAAAAGGGGTCATCTACTAGTCATAAACAATGTCATGCCAAATATGAAGACTGCTGACCAAAGCATTCTTAATTAGCAATTGAGCTGACAAGCTTTTTTTAGTCAAGGCCCCTGTGACCTTGAACTTTGACCCAGTGACTTCAAAATCAATAGGGATCACAAAATGGTCATGATCAACCTCCATGCCAAATATGGGTCAAAGGAATCTTAAGTTATTGGGCAGACAAGGAAAAACCGCTGGACAGGGAGACAGCCGGACGAATAAGCTGATTCCAGTTTATAAAAACATCATGACACTCGTTTTAATTTCATATATTTAAGTTTTTTAATTAAATTTATACTTCTAATTTGGTACAAGTAAAACAGTGACATCATCTCATTTTATCGTGACATTACTGAGTTTGTTATATTGTATCTGTATTCCATTCCATTAATAAACATAAAAATTTGATTGCATTGCATATATTCATCATTACAAAATTCCCGTGAGATGACACCAAAAACCAACCACCAAGTATGATAACAAAACAAGTTGGCAGAATTAAACGTAAATAAAACAAGTTTTGTTTGATGGAGAAGCAGTAAAGGCAGGGGTATCAACTATAGTGGAACATATCAAGTACTATAATCAATATCAGTAAAAGCATTATGTTTGACGATAGTCCCCCGATGGGACCGCATTTATCAACATTGCCACATTGGCGAGGTAAATATCTAGAAAACTTGTCCCAATATCGATTCCCAGGAATAACAGCGGAATAATTTTGCTCATTTTTGCCACTCAGTGATAATGCAACAGTACATTATTTCACACCTAGTTTCATAAAATGCCTAGGTCAGCCGATCATAAACACAAGCTATCATTACTGATGGAAATATAAACCTCTGTCGGGGGAATATTATTGGGTGACAGTGACGGCAACTGTTCTTCACAACTGTTCAAATATTTGTTTGAAATATATCGAAATAAATGACAGGGTGATTTTTTTAAATATTGACGGCCATACATAACACATCCTTCTTTTTTTGATATGACTAAGAGTATATTAAAAACTTTTCTTGGGGTTGCATTTTAAATTACATTAACACTTTAAAGGGTAAAAAGCTGTATCTTGCGAACTATTTTTATAAAATCTATACATAGTAGAATTATGTTGGGTCCATTATAATATAAAGTAGATTCTCCAGAGTAGTTACAGAGCATGTCTCTTGTTATTTCATGCACATAAATAATGTACGTAAACAAATTAAAATTTTCTGGATCAAAAGAATAATGCTGCTATTTTAAGTACAGTTTTAACAGTGTAGCTATGATATCGTGCAGGAGCCATAATTATGCACTTTAAGATATATACAAAGTTTACAAGCATATTTTTCTTTCATACAGGCATTACCGATTTCTGTTTTTTTTTTTTCAAAATTCAAATAATTCTATAATAAAAATATCAAAGAGCGCGATTTATTAACGGATACAATAATATCATTTGAATATGTTTTAATTGCGAAATTATCCAGTTCGCTATTCATTGTACATATCGCCACATTTCATTTTTGATAATCAAACACCCTCATATCAATCGGCTATTATGGCCGACGAAAAGGCCCGAGAACTTGCAATTGCCCTTTCACAAAATCTGATTTCATTCCATAAGGGGCAACGTGCTTCGGCGCAGATGCCAATAAACAACAAGCAGTAGTATTACAGCATGAAGCAAACTGATAATGGGGGTAGTGTTTATATGTCACATTGTAACATTCTCAGTATGATTTCAAACATGTTACATTCATATAATCATCTTTAACCCTTACTTTACTAAATATCTTAAATGGACTCATCCATCTTTAAATCTGGATGAAACCATTCATCATTTTTAGGGGAAATTTCAAAATATGTACTGACTGAATAGTAAACTGTGTAGACCATGATGGCATGGTTGAGCCAGCTGATCTTTGTCTGCACTGATTGCATGGCAGCAGGGTAGAGGCCCCCATTCTTTAATTTTTCTTGCAGTGCTTTTTAATTTAACCACCGTCCTGAATGAGCTTAATAGGTAGAGCGTTAGACTGTGGATCGGGCAACCCAGATTCGATTCCTGGATGGTGCAGATTGATCATGAAATCTTATCTATGGTCATTCCCTTTGTACCTCTGCTCTGGCATGTACAGAAGTTTCAGTTCTTTGCGAAACTGAAGGCAACTACTACTGGTAAACTGCTTTACAGCCTGCCCAGGAAGGAATTACGGTGACTGAATTGTGCTCTGGTAAATTCAATGTGGCTTACTGTCATGATCCTGAGTAAAAACTACCAACCTAAATGCCGCCATTTTTTAACTAAATGCAGCATGAAAATCTAAAATACTTCCCTCTTTTGTTTAAAATATGTGATCAAGGTTCTCTTTCTTATAAATTTTATTCAATAAAAAAAAATAAACATATTATAAATTCAAATAAAGTATTTTTATTTGTTTTTTTTTTCGTCTTTGGGTAAAAGCCTTTCATAGTATGTAATCAAATCATAAGTAGATCCCATATTTCGTCATCTGTACAAAAACAAATAAGCTGCCTTTTTGAATTAAGCAATTTTATTTTGACTCTAGATTCCGTGACCCATGCTGCCACCCACTCACTTCATTAGGAAGAAAAATGAAAATTTACTGTCACATCATAAAACAGGATTATTTCGATTTTTACAACCTTGTATGTACTCAACTAAAATACATCTTAGACGAATCAATCACTGATAAATCTCAGACACATCAGACTTTAGTGCACACACTTACCAAACAAATAACTATTTTAAAGACATTTGCATACAATGCAGTTTCAGTTAAATTTAAATAATGTACCATTTGACCAAATTCGTTGTTGACATACTATGGCATAATTTTATACATATATCTTATTGGTGGGTGGGGTTGGGGGACTCATTGGTTTAAACATATTTATTTAAGATTGATTGCAAAACAAGTTCTTGCATTTTATATTTATCACTTTCAAGCCCGCTTCTTGGAACCAACCAGTACTGGTGTCATATGAAAAAACATTGTTGGTTGTGACCGGATTAGGACTCGAACCCATGATCCACGGGTTGAGAGGCAGACACCTTAACTAGGCCATCACTACCCTTACTCTTGAGGGGACTAATTATTTAAAATAAAAGCAAGCAACTGTCCAGTAAAGAAGTGCAGTGTCACGTACAGAGCTATATTTAAATGGAGAGGAAGCTATGACATGATATTCTTCAGATTTATTAACCTGCAAGTTCACATCGTTGTGAAATATTCCAACACCATGTTTGACACTAGAAAACTTTACCAATATGTATGCCGCAATGTTATCTAAAATTTGTTATTGTAATACAAAAATATACAAAAAGATGTCAATAATCTCAAACAAGGAATTGTGGGTCAGGATTGGAAATCTTTTTATTTTTAGAGCTTCTTGTCCCTCTGTTATATAAGTCTCTTATCTTCAGTAGACTGTGTTTGGTAACATACCTTCAGTAGACTGTGTTTGTGGATTAGACAGACGGGTAACATACCTTCAGTAGACTGTGTTTGTGGAATAGACAGACAGGTAACATACCTTCAGTAGACTGTGTTTGTGGAATAGACAGACAGGTAACTCACCTTCAGTAGACTGTGTTTGTGGGTAAGACAGACTGGTAACATACCTTCAGTAGACTGTGTTTGTGGAATAGACAGACAGGTAACTTACCATCAGTAGACTGTGTTTGTGGAATAGACAGACTGGTAACTTACCTTCAGTAGACTGTGTTTGTGGGTAAGACAGACTGGTAACATACCTTCAGTAGACTGTGTTTTGTGTTTATAGTCAGACTGGTTAACTTACCTTCAATAGACAGACTGTGGGTTAGACAGACTGGTAACTCACCATCAGTAGACTGTGTTTGTGGGTTGTTGTTATTTGTCATCAGTTGATGAGACAGACTGGTAACTTACCTTCAGTAGACTGTGTTTGTGGGTTAGACAGACTGGTAACTTACCTTCAATAGACCCTGTGGGTTAGACAGACTGGTAACTTACCTTCAGTAGACTCTGTTTGTGGGTTAGACAGACTGGTAAACTTACCTTCAGTAGACTGTGTTTGTGGGTTGGACACTGCTATGCTGACTGGGATCTCCATTATCACCAAGGCAACAGCGCCAACGCCAATATATATTTCTGCCTACATTTTACATCTGGACTATCCTGAAAATAAAATAATTACAATATTTGAAAACATCTGAAGGTATGAAAATGTAATGTGTTTGAGAAGCATGTATCAAAGTATTCTATATAATTTATGGCAAGTAAAAATAAATGTAATGCTATCAAAGTATATTACCCAGATATGTATATAGCTCTGTCCAAGGTGATATTAAACTGCTCAGAGATTTAGAAGTCTGAACTATCCCCTTACTCTAAAGTAACACAAAACTGATTATATCAAAACTGAACAATTCTGCCCATAGCATATTAAGATGTTATTCTCCTTCAATAATACAATAGCATGACATCTGATACAATAGTTATAACACCATTGGCAACAATAATTATGACAACAACAACAATAATTTAAATTACACCAACCAACAGCAACAATTATATATAATTATATTACACAAAAATTGTAAAATGACTACGCGAACAACACTATCTATTCCTTATTTAAACTTGTACTTATGCACAAAGGCACTTATAATCAACAATATTTTGTTTAATATTTTCCATGTTCTTAACCCTTATCCAACTGCTCTGAATTTTGAACATTTCACGAAAGATTCCAGGGCTTTCAGTAATAAAATAGTTTTTTGCTGTTTTTTGTTGTTTTACATCCAACAACATGGTAAAAGTCATAATTGATGGATCCCTGCATTATATAACTTTATGTTTTCAATGAAAGCACTAATCTTGCTTTTTTTGTCTTTCACCAACTTAATTGTCCTTAGCACAGTAATAAGGAAAGGCATTTCTATTTTAAGATACACAGTCACACACCGAGAAAATCAAAAAAACAAAAATCAAATTTAGATAACAACAAAAAAAAATCAAAATAAATTAACTTTAAAAAACATCTTAAATGAGATTATTGAATCTCGCAATGACAATCCTTTCATACTGAAATAAAGATTAACACACCTCCTGTTATCTGTGAAGATCAGAGTAAACAATAAAATATTTAATCAACATGATTTCAACACAGGAATCTCAATATTATATATTTGTTTTGCATATAAATTTGGACAAAGGTGGGACGGATGATTTAAAATTAAAATATCAAAGCTTTCTTTTTTTTATTTATTGATTAAAACATTTTACCAGTCAGATTGTTAACAAGAGAGTAATGCTCATGTTCATGATACAGATTCTCATTACCACAACAGTGGCTTAGCTATTTAGACATTTGCCTCTCAACTAAGTCATTTAGGGTTTGAGTCTAACTTAATTACAGCAACAGTAGCTTAGCTGTTGAGACATTTGCCTCTCAACTCAGTTGCCACTAAATCTGGGATCAGAAGTGATTTTTAGCAGTTTCTACCATTATAGAGCCAGGCAAGCCTGCAGTAACTAAGGTGCAGTCTAACCTACAGCTCTATACTGTTGGCTGACATAATTTGGTTACCACTCAAAGCTTTTACTACTTCATGGACATTATCATTTTTTGATTAGCCCTTGTCACCACAGAAAGGTGTCGGTAGGCAGGGTCCATCCGCCTTTTCAGGCACTGAGAGTTCCAAAGCCAAACAGAAAATTGTCACTCTGTTTATTCTATTTATAATGAAATGGGGCATGAGCTAATATCTTATTGTATTAGAGAAAGCTTGGAAAAAAAATTTATTTACCGGGTAATGCATATTCTTAAGTAATGAAAAATACGATTCTGGAGAGCTAAAATATTGCCAAATTGTCTGAATCAAAATTTAATGATCCATTTAAAATGATTCATTACAGCTGATAGCCTGATAAATTAAAAATATAAAATTCCAAGTTGATCTGAAGAAAATATTCAGTAGAAATCACCACATGGGAAGGTTAAATACATAAAAAGATTCAAAGGTATTTAATATGAAATCCTGTCTCAAATCTTATGTCATTTTAAATCTTATTTTATTTGCCATTTTTTTACTTTGTCAGTCAATAAACTTCAGTAAGAAGGATTGATCTATTTAAGGTGACAAATACAAGGGAAACATCATTGTCAAAGGACGACAATTAATTCTAATATTACTAATTCCTTCATGACAGAACATTGTCTGTTAATCTATAAAATGATAATTCTTTGCTATTGTGGTGGAAAAAAAAGTTAAAACCATTATCATTATAACCTGTTATTAAACGTCTAAAATGGACTTGTCCGCATTTCAATTTTTGGAACAGTCTATTATTAATTTTCAGGATAACAAGATGAAAAATTTGGTTTAAACATATTTTATCTAATTTCCATTACAAAACAAGTTCTTGCAACTTATACTAATCACTTTTGAGTCCACCTCCTGGAACTAACCACCACCGCTGTCATATGAAGAAACATGGCAGTGACCCAAGCTCGAACCCATGATCCCTGTGTTGTGAGGCAGAAACCTTGACCTGACTAGGCCACAGATCCCCTTGATGAAAATTCACAGCAGTATAGACTGTAGAGCCTTGTGAGACTGACTACAGAATATAGAGCCTGGGCAAAATGCATACACATACTTTTCTAAAGCATAACAATTTGTATTTCAAAATATACCAGTTTTGAATGTGTTTAATATAATGTTATTTTTCATTTTACTTCTGTCACTGTTTTCGAAAAGAGACACTGAATGGGATGATGATCAATGCATCACTTTAGTGCAGCAATGGGTTAACTCCTATTAAGATTCAATAGGAGTTAATCCATTTCTGCACTAAGGTGACAAATTATGCTTCTTCTCAAACTAATTAACAAATTTACAGAACATAAATCATATTAATAAATAAATAAATAATAAAATATCCACTTGAACATTTTCTTTCCGAAAAGAAAGTAGACCAAAATATGTATTTTTCACATTGAAAGCTAAAATAAACATTATGAAAGTTCAATCATATGAAATAATATACAAATCTTACTCTAAAGAATTGATGCAAAATATTTGAACTAAGTTTTCCATGACCGAGTATCTTTTTAATGATATTTCTAATAGGGGAGAATTTTGAACTTTATAATCAATATAAGATTAATTAGACATTTAGTTCTATAACAACAAATCAATTTCTGTCCATTACATAAATCTCTTGAACATAATACTGTTGTTATTCATTGAGAGGAAATCATTAAAGCCTACAAGCTAATATCCTTACAATATAAGTTCTTTTATCAGCAAGTCATTCACAATATTGTATGTAATATAGGAACACAATAATAAAAGTAGAGAAAAAAAACATAAATTAACTTTATATATTATAAAGGGTAACATCATGTGTTCATGTATATAAAATATATATCTTATATCAAGCACAAACACAGTAAAAAAGGGAAAATTTAATGTTTGTTATTGAATTGTCTTGTGTACATTACAAAATGAAATTCACCAGGTCACCAGTTAAAAAAACGCCAATGAATGACATTAAAACAGATTGTCCTAGCTCCATGAAATATTCAGTTACTTTGAAAAAAAAATTAGGAGGCTTAAATTAGAGAATAGATGTTGTGGAAAGATACTATACACTTCAGATGTAACTCAACTGTGACTATTGGAAATTTGTTTTCCAAGAGCTTAGAAAATATTTAATTGAGAGACATGCATGTAAATTGATGAAAAGTTATCCAAAATACACCATGTAACAAACTAATTGCTTGCTTTTTTGTGTGGCTTTTCCACTTTTCTAAATACAGTATTTTAATTTTTTTAACTACTGCCCATTTTTTATGCAACATTTTGTTATGTGTATGATAACAGAATGCATTCTCCTATCTTGTACTAGAAGCAATCTCATTTATTTATACAGGAATGATTTCTTTTTCACATGCATTCCCCTATATCTGTTGTGTAGCTTTTCTAAATAGTGTCCTTGACTCAGCAAGTTGCGACACAATAATTATATCATAAATGGACTAGTCCCTCTTCCAATCTTCCCCATGTTATAAAATGTTTCAAAGTATAGCCTTAACTAAGGAATAAAGAATATTTTGGATTTTTCCAAGCTTGAATCCGTTGGTACAAACAAACTTTTAACAGTTACAGCTTCGAAAATAAACGTAACAGGCTGACGGGTAGTGCACCACGACGTTATAATGGTAAAAGTCTGTATACTCTTTAACTACATTTAGTCACGATCTCTGAATAATATGTATTTATAGTAAAAACCTCCTTGCTTCAAAAACATAAAATTTCCACCTAAAAAAAAAAGCATTAAATTATCCTTCATTTTATAAAACACACATAAAATTTCAAGGAATAAATCAATAAAAAATCAAGTATAAACAATTAAAACAATTTCTCATTATCAGAACACAAATAGCAAAAAGATAAAACTTTTCAGAAACTTAAATGTCTTTAAAAACATTCATGAACATTAATGAATTGGTGAAAAAAATTGAAAGCATACAGGAACACACCCCAGACATTGAACATTTCATTCCAGTTTTTTATGTCTAGTTATTAAATTTTGACATTCATTTGGCACGCATATAAACAACTATCTCCTGTCTGTATACTGGTATCTGCAGCTGAAAGTTTCTATGCATAATAATTATTGTACTTTGGTTTTGAATTAACCTGAAGTGCTTGAAATGAAGGTGCTTTTTTAAGCCTTTGCCCGCAAGTATAGAGCCAGGCCAGCCAGAACATCTGTGTTATCTCAGACCGGACTCTAAACTGGTGGTAACTGTTCCAAATTATATGTAGGGCAAATCCATTTCAGAAATTTTTCAGGTTAAAGGTTAACATTTTAAGAGCTACCATGTGATCATGATGTTAGCTGTAATCTGTCTGGAACTGTGGGTTTTTCCAAGTTACAACCCCCCCCCCCCCCCCCCCTAACCAAAGTACAAACAAACTACACATTTTTGCCATTTATAGCTTCATGGTGCACTGCCGTTCACCTGTTGCTCTTATTTTAAAAATTAAAACTGTAAACAAAAGTTTGTCTGTATACCCCCAGATTTATTCTTAGTTCCGTAGTAAAGTTATTATCAGACTTAAAAACCATCAGTATATTACATGACCACAATATGTATCTGT